AGTGAGTTTAGATAACCTCTGTAATTTACCTAGGAGTGACTTAATATGGCCCTTGCTTTCCAACTCAGTTCCAACTTTCAAATGAAATATCTCTAACTTGAGAGGAGTCTTATCTTTCAGTGCTAGCAATTTATAACCTTAATTGTTAAATACTTCACCAAGGATTAGTTAACAGGGGACTTCAGAACAAGAATAAGATATGTTTTAGGCAGGGAGCTGAGAAAGCATTCTGATATAATATTGCAATTGTGCTATGTTTGTGAATTGCATCCTCTTTTTTTTTTAACCCTTGAAATTTCTGCTAGTTTTCTGACTTCAGAACTTAAAAGATTCAGTATATTTTTTCCTGCATTGTATGTCTGTTCACTCATTTGTTTATTCAAAAAATATTGCCTGGTACGGCTCAGTGGCTGAGCATGGACCCATGAACCAGGAAGTCACAGTTCCATTCCCATTCCGGGCATATGCCCAGGTTGGGGACTCAATCCCCAATAGGGGGCATGCAAGAGGCAGCTGATCAACGATTCCCTCTCATCATTGATGTTTCTCTGTCTCTCCCCCTCTCCTTTCCTCTCTGAAATCAATTTAAAAAGCTTATATAATAAAAGCCTAATATGCTAAATGTCTGCTCAGCCATTCAACAAATCAAAGTGTAATATGCTAATGATATGCTAAGGCCACTCAACTGCTTGCTGTGACGTGCACTGACCATCAGGGGGCAGATGCTCTGACTGGTAGGTTAGCTTGCTGCTGGGGTCTGGCCAATCAGGACTGAGCGAGCTGGGCCAGACATGCCCTGGAGCCCTCCTGTGGTCCTTCCCCGGCTGGCCAACCTCCTGCATCTCTCCCCAGCCCCAATCCTACACCAGTGGTGTCCCTCAGCCGGGCCTGTGCCCTCACGGAATCCAGGCTGAGGGACACCCCCCTACCCCCCCGAGTGCATGAATTTTGTTCACCGGGCCTCTGGTATATCTATACCAGTGGTCAGCAAACTGTGGCTCGGCAAAGTGCGGCTTGCTAGCCACATGTGGCTCTTTGGCCCCTTGAGTGTGGCTCTTCCACAAAATACTGACTTATGTGGGAGCGCATGTACAGTGCGATTGAAACTTCGTGGCACACTCAAGGGGCCAAAGAGCCGCATGTGGCTCGCGAGCCCGGTTG